AAAAATATATTCGACTATATTGAATTATTCAAAAAGGATACAAAAGGCTTTATATACAGACTCATTCTCTTGGAAGAGAATTAACTTAGCCTACAATCTAGCTATACGAAAAAGGAAGATTTTGTACATATCAATTACAGACTTTGTTTCCTATTCTAAGTCAATGACTTTGTTTCCTATTCTAAGTCAATGACTTCTCAACAGTTAGCGTTGTTGACTTAGCAACGAGGTAAGGGTAAGGATTCTGATGCGAAGCTTTCTCGGTTGCCCTAAGTTGATAAATGTTTTCCTAATCTAATTGGGCTGCTGCATTCCCAGTCAAGTGGTGCGAATTGGTTTAATTGGTGTCGAGTACTTGGCCCATATTTTTAGGAGCAGTGCCCTTGTTTCCATCAACGATTGGGAATCATCTCCTTGTTGCGAGAGACAAAGGAAGAAAAGAAGATAAAATATAAAAAGGATATGTGGCACCAGTTAAGGAGAACCTCCCTGCACAACACACACACACACACACAGAGGGAGAGAAGCCGAGAGCAGGAAATGGAGAATTCAAAAGTAATGCATTTGTACAAACACACTTCACTTATTATTTATTTGTCACATAAACTGACACTCGTTGGTGTACTCTTTATTCTAATACATATGGAATATAATAGTAGGGCCACCTATATTCACTACAGCGTGTGTCCACGTAATTTTATTGATACAATACTGGTAGGAAGATTTACTTTCAAGGGTAAAGTTCAATAAGAGACCTGAAACCGAACGTATGAGTGATGTTATAGTGAGTGAAACCAGCAGCCAAAAAGATTTTTTTCCATTCTGATTCGGTACGCTCTTTGCCAGTGACGGTAGACATCATCAGCATATCAAACATCAGTTGGGTTTCAATGGATTTCTTATCCACCATTTTCTCCTTGTTATCGACATGTCCCACAACTATGTCTATGATGATAATCTTTTTATTCCCTTCATCATTTTTGCTCAGAAGTATTGCTTCTCTACACTTCTTCAATATCTTCACGCTTTCTTCATCGCTCCAATCATGCAAAATCCACTGAGATATAGATTATTAATTAATTTCATACATTACCCAATTAGTCACCATGTTTCCACAATTAATCTATAAATAAAACGAGGATATGTGCACACAACTACATCAACAATGTATATACTTGCTTGTCGGCACCTTTTACGTATCAATAATCCTATTTAATACACTTGTTCATACTTTCTTTAATAGAGGTGGGAGATCTTTTTACCAACAAAAAGGTTATTAATTACGCAATTAACTAAGAAACAAGTACCTTGAGCAAAATTGCATTTGCTGGGGGTATTTCCACAAACATGTCTCCCCCCACAAAACCCAAATTATGGGTGGTTCCTTGCAAGTCAGCCACCACATGTGGTTGGTCAAACACAATGCAGTTGATGCTGGGGAATGCATTGGCAATGGCCTTGGCCATGGTTCCTGTTCCTCCTCCAACATCCACCAGGGATTTCAAGCCCTCAAAAACTCCTCCACACTCTTCCACCACCTCCCTTCCGAGAAGCTTGGAGTCAGCCTCCATTGCTTCATCAAACAAGTTACCGAACCTTGGCTCCTGAGCTGCCAAATCCCAAAAGGGCATTCCATTTTCCATTTCAAATGGTGTAAATATAGTAGCTGGATCATCACCACCGTTCATCTGCAACCAAGCTCCCATCAAGTGAAACGGGGTTGTCAGTACCTGATAGAGTAAAACCTAGTTAGGATTCCTTCTTCCACAAGTATTGTAACTATATGTAAATTAGTTTTTCTTGCTTTCCTAGTAATCCTAATATTCATTGTCATTAAATCCCAAGACTTATGATGTATATATATAGATACGGCCTCTAGCTATCAATGTTCTTTGACTGAAACCTTATAGGTTTTCAAATTTTTATCGAAGTTACTGATATTAATGTAATGGTGTGGTTCTATGTAGGTTATTACATTTTTAAATTAAAAATTGAAATTTGTAGTTGGTTATATTAGTGAGATTTTAAATAAAACCCATAATTTGTGGAATTAAAAATATCAAAAGAATAAATTATACACTCCAATAAATTGTATACATATAGACATGGGTAGATTCATTAAAATTACCAAAAAAATTATTGTACCAAAACATGAATACATTTTTCAAAACTACAAAAAAAAAAATAATAATAATAATAATAATAATAATAATAATAAAAATTTAAAAAAAATTTAAAAATTAAAATTTAAAAAAAAAAAAAAAAAAGAGCCTTAGTAACATTATTAAATTTCTTACTTGACATAGATACATTCTCAAATCAAGGAAATAGAATGAACCCATATAAGTTTTAAAATGGATTAGAAAAAAAATGATATATTAGAAAACGGCACATTTTACATATAGCAAATTGTATATTTAAGAATTGGTACATTTAAGATTAGAGAAAATTGCAAAAATTATATGAATGGGTACATTTAAGATTAAAATTTTGAAAAAAAAAAATCCTTTTTATAAAAAAAACAATTAATGGGTATACACTTATTCTAATTTTTTTTGGAAATGTTTGAATTGAAAATTAATTAGGTAATAAGGGTGTGATTATTAAACCCTAATCAACTACTAATTTTTATTTTAAAATTTATGTAACTGACATGTAAATTCATTAATGCTAGAGACTTCAATCAGAATCTAAAAACTAATAAGTTTCGATCAATGAACATTTGTAAATAAGGACCCGCTACTAATTTTTCCTATAAATAATATATATCAAATTCAATATACACTACCGGATCGAGTATCATGAGTACAAGTGGTGTGGTGTTTGATGGCCCGTCTTTGAGAAGAAGGCTAGAAGTTGGTGTTAGGCTATACAATACAACAGCTTCTTCTTCCTCCACATCGTCACGATCATGATGAACATGATGATGTTGTGCAAAGAAATCGGAGTGGACGAGGATGCGCATCAGGCGTGAGACGAAATGAGCTCTCGAAGGGTGGACATTGAGCTCAGCGATGAGCTCGGAAAGAGAGATGGGTTGGCCGTGGTTGTGAATCACGTCTGGGATGCCCAGTTGAGCTGCACAATTGAGTGCCATGGAGTTTATGAACTGGAACATGTGGTTCCAAATCTGAGCTTGAGCTCCAAGAAGCTCATGGCTAGTAGCACCCACTTCACCATTGCTCAAACCCGTGTGTGTGTGTGTGTGTATTTCTATGTAGTAAGTCTGTGGCCACCAGATTATATATTTTGATTGATTATTCTCTTGCTAATACATGGGTGTGTGGATCGGGATATATATAGCACTGCCCAGTGCCCACATACAAATATTGAAGTGAAAAATCATATTATACTCGACACTCTTACCTATCGAGGTTTCATCTTTCACGCACTCTTTAAGCATCTCAGGTGCTTTCTAATTGTTCACACTTTGAGCGTGCCAAACATAAGCTATCTAAGATTTTATCAATCTAAATTGTAATGATTGCATACATCACTATGATTCAAGTAATATATTATAGGGAAATTTTATGTGAATCCGTATAACTTCTTTCTACACAACTTTCTCTCCAAACCATATTATTTTAAATTAAACTATCAATTTGTCTTTAAACTCAAATTTATTACCTAAACTACCCTCACAAACTCCATTCAATATGTAAGTTTATCTTTACACTCATTTAGAAAAGGTTTAAATGTCAAAATGGTCCATGTGTTATAGCCATACGGCCAATTTAGTCCTCGTGTTTTCGATTTGGCTAATTTGGTTCTCATGTTTGTCTAAGTTAGCCAATTAAGAACATTCCATTCAATCTCTTTTAAAAAATTCATAAGAAAAATTATATGAGATATAATTACCCTTTCTCTTTACAAAAAAAAAATGAAAATCAATGAGAAATAACACATATAAGAGATAAAACTTCCAATCGAAAAAATGATTAAGTTTGTGACATTGAAAAAAAGGGGGTAAATTTAGGGAGAAAGTCGGAGAGTTGAGAGGAGAATAATTTTTCTTTTAATTTTTAATTTAATTCCATTTTTAAATATTTTAAATAATCAAACAAATAAGTTTAATATGATTTATAATTTTTTTTACATAAATTAGATGAAAATGTCCTTAAGTGGCTAAAGGAGATAAACACAAGGACCAAAATGATCAAATTGAAAACACATGGAATTTATTAACCCAATGACTAAACCATAGGGATCATTTTAATATTTAAGCCTTTAGAAAATAAAAACCCAAAATTAGTATTCATGAATATTTTGCAACTTCTAAACATTTTTGTTTTTGTACAAACAATGTTATCTACATTAAGGGGGTGGAGGAGTGTGATAAGCCTCACAACGGGCTAGAAATAATATAGTTCAAACTTGCGTTTGATGAGAATCGGACCTAAAAATAGAAATATATGACCCAAATTTTAATATGTAGTACTCCTCTTTACTTGTAAGTGAGAGGTTTTAACTTTGATTATTGTCAAAAGCGAATTTGAATCACATTAGCGCTAGCCCATTTTAAGGCGCTCAGCCCACTCACCATCTCCTTAGTGTAAATAATATCGTTTGTTAAAAAAAAATATATAAATATACCAAATGTAACATTTTTAACACTACGTAAATATATTTGGAAAATAAAGTTTAAATATGCTAACATGTAAATATATTATTATTATTAAAATAATGACGTGAATAAAAGTCAAAGAACCTTGATCAATAACTAAAAAGGAATAATGATTCAATCAATGAGATAGAAAAATGAGGAATGAAAACCTAATTTCTCTTAAAAAAAAAATAGATTTAGAATTCAAAACCCTCTCTAATGTAACCAAACGTATCAATTATTGGCTTGGGGAAAACATGTCAATTATTGTATGGGCAACATGAATCATCTAGAATCAGATCATCCATCTTTATTTGGTAATAAAGTGGTTAAGTATATTATTTAGATTTAAATAATGTTATCATATCCTCTAAATAGAATGCTTCGTGCAAAATAAAAAATATATCCTCTCAATGGAATGCAATTGTAGATAGTGCAGAGTAGGAATTTTATGTGCGATGGGGGCCATTGACAAGCCATATGATACAAAAGAAAAGATAAAAAAAATAATCGAATCTTTCAAATTTGACAATGTTTAGAAAAATATAAGACACAAAATCATTGTTTACTCAATCATGTATCTAAACTCTAAATGACAGATGAGGATCCTCTTGGATACCCTTTGTGAGGGTCTTTGAAATCTTCATATTTTAATTGTTCATCATATATCGTGGTATCAGTTTTCATTAGATACTATTTATATTTACTTTTAAATAAAAAATTTAAAACAATTTCTAAACGCACAAATTACAATGAATAATTAAAATGTAAAGATCTTTAAGATCTTCACAATTTATATTTGAGAACCAAATCCCTGATTAACACTCATCATTCTTTCAAATGTCAGAAAGTCATTTATGATTGACTTTTGATATTTGACAAAATGTTAAAATGACGAAAATTGACACTCGCTGACACACTCTTTAATCTAGTACATATATGGAATATAATAGTAAGGCCACCAATATTAGCTAGAGTTTGTGTCCACATAATTTTATTGATACAATAATAGTAGGAAGATTTATTTCAATGGTAAACTTTAATAAGAGATCTTAAACCGAGCGTATAAGTGATGTTATAGTGAGTGAACCCAGCAGTCAAAAAGATCTTTTCCCATTTTGATTCACCATGCTCTTTGCCAGTGATGGTAGACATCATCAGCATATCAAACCTGAGCTAGTTGTCAAATGATTTCACATCCACCATCTTCTTGTTATAGACATACCCCACAACTATGTCTATGATGATAATCCTCTTATTCCCTCCCTTGTTTTTGCTTAAATTATGGCTTCTCTACACTTCTTCAATATCTTCACGCTTTTTTCTTTGCTCCAATCATGCAAAATCCACTGAGATAGAGATCGTTAGTTATTTTCATACATTACCCAATTAGTCACAACATTTCCCAATTAATCTCTATGTAAAAGGAGGATAGTACACACAACTACATCAACAATGTATGTATGCATATGATATACTTGCTTGTCGGCACTTTTTACATATCAATAATTATATTTAAACACACTCGCTCATATTTCTTTAATAGAGGTGGACGTGGGACAAAGATGCTAGCTAGAACTTGCAAAGACAAGGGTGAGATGTTTTTACTAAGGGGTGGGACAGTGGGCTAAGCCTTATAATGAGCTTAGACTAAAATCAAATTTTAATCTTGTCTTACACAAGATTAAAAATTAAGTTTAGTTCCTAAACTCTATTTAATGTCAGCGCATGCATTCAATGTCTCTTCTTTTTTTTTCTTTTTCTTTTTTAATTTTAAACTTTCCATGAACTAAATTTTATGAAAATATTGTAAATTTAGTACTCTTTTGAACTCCAATGAATTAGCTCTTGTTTTTTAATATTTTGCATCACCAATTTATGCTAAGTATCTTATATATAAAAAAAAAAAACAAATTGGGTAGAAATCTCTTATGAGCGCAAGTTGCATACTTATTTGATCCCGAAAATTACATTTACTTGTGAAATATTGGATTTAAATGTAAGGAATTACATGTCATTTGTATTTTTATGGCTAAAATAACATGATGGAGAAATATATCATAACTCTTTGATATTTAAAGCTAGTCAAGTGAGTCTGGTACTTATTTTAAATGGCCATTTATCTAGTGCTCTAACTATGTAACCATATGTGCATTTGAAATATTAAAAGCCAAGACCACCATGTGCTAATTGATTTCAATGTGAATTGGATGCAGGATGAGAAATATAGAAGAACATGTGGCCACAAAGCTCACGAAAGGTTGCTCTTATCGTTTCATCTGCATAGAAGAGAAATAAAAAATAAAATAAAAAACTGATGCTATCTTATTAAATTCTAAGGAGCAATCAATAGCAAGTAAAAGGCACGAGAGTATGTATTTCTTCATTGAGAAATAAACGGAGGTGAATAAATGCACAAAGTGGCCATCAAGGAATTTAATTATCATCTATTCCTTTACTATCAACAATAAATTGATGTTAAGCATTCGTCGGTTACGGAAAAGGAAAGAAGGAAGAAGAAGAGGGAAGGCAAAGAAACAAAAAAACTGGCTGGGAGTCTTTTGGTATTAAGGTATCAGTAATGGGGCTAAACATTAATGAGGATTCAAGAAAAGGAGCACACGGAGAAGCAATCAGATCATTCAAGGAAAAAAGGGGAAGGCTAAACAAGAAAAAAGAAGTGTAGTGCGGCAAAGCATGGGGTTTTTCAGGCCTTTCCATACTTAGTTTTCTTTTTATGAATTCAATAATATTTCCGGTTATGTTTCAGAACTAATTTCTTTTCGCTAGGGTTACGATGTAGCTTAACTATGAATTCTTAATTTCTCAGTTTAATTATTTATGAATTTTCATTCATTTGGAGTATGTTGTGCTTATGAGCTTAATTTTAATCTTGGTGATTGGCCACCACTTTGGTTTGAGTTGAGTGTATGTGATGCGAATTAACGTAGATGCTGTGTTGTTAATTCAATTTTAGCGTCTTGCAAAAGGTACCATGAATTCCTTGATGTAGATGCCATACACTAGGCTTCATGCGGTCTCTTAAGTAGTTCCCAAATCGTTAATGAACTCTTGTGTGTTGAGTAATGTAGATGCCATAGATTGTTAGCACATTTGAGTATACATAGTAATCTAGATGCCATGGATACTATATGAATTAGAGGAACTAGGCCGTCAAGATGGATGTTTATTCGTTAATAATTAACTGTTGGAATTAAGTTGGATTGGTTATGGTAAATCGAATGCTCTAGTGTCTTTCACAACTGATTTATAATTTTCTTTGCAAGTTGTTCATCATTTTCCATCACTTGTTAATTTCATTTACTTTTTATTAAGGAGAAATTAGGTTCTCATCCTTCCTTTTGCTACTCCATTGATTAAAATCCTATTCCTTTTCAATTTTTGATCAAGGTCCTTGGGTATTAATAACATCATTAATTATTTCAATAATAAAATATTTTTTTATTTCTAAATATATTCATTTAATGTTAAAAATGTTACAATTAGTATATTTATATCTATGACTAAATTTTTTATCATATATTTTTAGTTTTAGTTTGTACCCATTTTTAATTTGTAATTCTTTTTTAACTTGTACCA